GTTTGGGTTTATTTTGTTCATATTTATTATGTTCTCTGATGCGACTTAAATTGACTGCTTTCCTTAGAGATATTACCTGGGGAAAAACTGTCTTACAAGATATAAAACGAATGGGATTATTACATGTGTTACATTAACATATTACTGAAATCTGTAAACAGATGTAATCCTATCGAATTACTGATTTGTTTTTCTGGTATTTTAGTGTTTGGCTATGTTTATCTCATTAATGATGATTATGATGTAATCACCATTCGACGAATGCCAACAACATTCATATTGCTACATACTCGATCGTCGAGTCATTATTATTGTTGTTAATTTTTATGGAAATGACATTGATTTCGACTAAAAAATAGCCTAGGAATTTAGTAATCAGTTGCGAAAAATTCCTTTTTATTATTAGTGTTTAGGTTTTGATTTCTAAAAGCTCAATACAACATTGCAGTTGTCGTAATTTTTGTTGGTGGACTAAATAATTAAATCTCAAACAAAGAAGTAAAATATGAAATTGATTACTGAAAATGACGCCTTATAATGAAAGCAGAAGTCGTTTTGATATCTTCATGCTTCATAGTGATGTAGCTCTGAGAACTATTATCACATTTTCAACTGTTTAGAACTTTTGATTATTGCCACACCTTCGACAACCTTAAGTATAAAGTAGAGTTGTACGAAAGAATCACTCAAATGAATCGATTCCCAGAGTTGATCGTCACCTGTGCTCTGGATTAGAAAGCCCAAATTCAAGTAAAAAAGACGATAAGTAGTTGATAACAGATGCCAGTTAGTGCTGCGTCAGTGGCACAGCGGTGAAATCCTTGCCAATCACACAGGTGGTTTGGGGTTCGATCCCCGTTCACCGACTCACTGCTTTATCTCGCTAAGCCAGTAATAAGAACGGTAAAGAGGGAAGGGTGTGCATGACGCTGCCAACCCCATCCCGTAAAAATATTTACCACTGCTATAGAAACTTCAGAGTTGTAGCTTGAAGCCCTATGTCCCATTGGGAACGTAAAGGAATATAATAATAAATAAATAAATTCAATTGTTGGTTTGTAGGAATTTGATTGGCTACAGGATTTCATGATGAGCTGATATTAGTTAGAGAACCATTGGGAAACCTAGGACTACTGGACAGCAATTTCGTCCTGTAACCAATCAAATCTCTACAAACTAAAACTTGAATATCAATGAGATGCTCTCTAGCGACTTGCCCTATTCAGGTAGGTAGTTACCTGAGCTTATATTGGGACGTTGTGACTAGTAGGGTGCAGCAGGTCGGGTGTGAGGAAAAATACTCGCCGAAGACATTGGCTAGGGTTCGCATTATGTCGTGAATTGGCAGAAGTTATAATTCAAGGACCGTTGGATCGGATCCTAGTGGCTTAATGGTATACGAGTTTGACTTGTAACCAGAAGGTACTGGGTTCGAATCTCGGGTGGGTGTGTACTGATGAAGAGCTTCAAGCTAGGACGAAACGGCTGTCCAATACTCCCAGGTTTTCCGATGGTTCTCTAACCCATGTCAGCTCATAACGAAATCCTGTAAATAAATAAATGGTGGTAAATATTGTTTACATAGTGTCAAAAATTAAATCCCAACCTAGTAGCTAAATGCAAACTCTCTTCCTGTAAGTGCTGGTGGTCATTAACTCAGAAATTAATGGTGCCGCAATTTAGCACTAATTAATATTCTCAATTTAAGACTTATCAGAAATGTACTGCTTCCTAATTTCAAACAGATTCCCAGTTGACGTGGAGGGAGTGGAGATTTTAGTGACCCAGCAGATAAATAAAATGCATTGACAAAAGGTTTTGATGAATCTTCGTAATAAGAAACATCTTAGACAAGATACAGTGAACCCATTATTCTTACTGAATGTACTACTTTTCATTCCTTATGTTCCTGACGGGACAAATGAATTCAGCTGCACATCTCCTGTGCATTTGGTTCTCTTTCGTCACTTTCAACTCACTGTAAAACTACCCACAAGCTTTCATTTCCTCTTCACATGTTCTCCTCCGTGTCACTGTCGCAAGCCCTACGCTTCACCTTCCATTAGAGCTCCACTCGATGGTCCATGAAAAACTTTCTTGTTGTTTGTTATTTCCTGCCATCTAGTCTTCCTTATCGAGGCAGTAAAATCAGGTGTTGGTGAAAAGCCGCCCGCCCCCTAATAACTATTTAACTTGTTCACTCTTCTGTTTCTAAACTGATGGATTTCTTTGAATAGCCATTCTTTCGCTGTTCTTTACAGAAACATTTCACTAATTTACATCCATCATGTGAAAGCAAGTTATCTTTACCAGATTATCGTTGGTCCTATTACATTAGTATTAAAAAATATAAAATTCAAGAGGCTACATTATCTACTTCATTTTCTGAATCAATTTTTTCATGATATAATCAATTCGTCTAGGTAGACTAACAATTAAAGGTTGAATATTTTCTGACTGATGCTCTCATGTAAATGTTTCACTTAAATGATGGGTAGATTAAAGCTTAAACATCATTTTGCGGTTTGATTTAGGTTCATGAAATCACCAAACACATAAGGTGGATATACTTCTTTGCAGAGTTATTTATATATTTGTGAAGAGTCATTATATCGTCTACTACCAAAGTAAAAGTTTGAAAGGGAAGCTGGTAATTAAAGGTGTATGCAAAAGCAGTTTTTATTCACTTGTGAGGTTTACAAGCTTCGATAAATTTCGATATTGGTTAAATAATTCAAAGCGTTTTAACGGCTAATTCATTCCTTCTCAGTAGTTCAAAGTAAAAGAGATATACAGCCCTATTTGGGATTGACCTAGTGACCACCAGTTTCACATTTGTTTACTCAGAAACTGGTTTATAGCATCTGAAAACATGTAGCCTTCCTTCTTTTTATTCAAAACTTAATGTTACATCAATCAAAATAATCAGTGAGTTACTACCTTGACAGTAAATTTAGTTGGCTCTACTAGCTAAAGCATCCCAATATAACGCCTGTAAACTTTCGCGTCAGTCAAAAGCCTTCTTGAAAGTGGAATTAACAGTTTCTCGTAGGAAATAACACGACGAGAATTTAAACCAGCAGCCTCTTATATATGGTGGAAAAACATCTAAGCGCATGCTTTGCACAGGATTTCATCAGTGTATTCCACACCCTTCAAAGCCAGTTAGCTGGTTTACGAAGTTTATTCATTTATTTTTTTTATTATAGCTTGATTCCACACCTTATTTTTGCTATAAGTATGGAATTTTCAGCATGTGATATCGGTAACCCAAATTTTGTAGGCCGACCATTGACATCAGGTGTGCGTCGGCAGGGGATCGAACTCAGGGCAATGTGCATGGTCGGCAAGAGTCCTAAACGCTATGCCATCGACGCACAACTATGGCTTACACAGTTTTATATATCTTCAAATTTTTACACTGTATCAACTTGGTACCGATAAACATTGGATTGTTGACATCTTTAAGTTTGTTTTTCAATCACCCTAACCACTTCTGTTAGAACTGTGACACACTGCATTTCATAAAGATGACAGACTTCAGACGTTGCATTAATCCACTGACTCTACCACTGTTAAATTGTTTACTGTTGTTGTTTATAGCTTGAATTCTTAGGGCATGAATAGTTGAGTATTCTGGGTAACACGATCCGAATGTAGTCACGAAAGCAGTGCAATCACCTTTAACACCGATTTTGGTAAAGACTGAACCAGTTCTCACCTAACCTATGGACGTCTTACATTTTAAATTGTGATATCTTTGACCTTGTAACTTCCAACATAAATTTTCTTCATTATTTAAAAACATGAGATTTAAGAATGAAAAGCAACTTACACTTTTACAAATACATCTCTGTCTATGTGACTTACAATTTGCACTAAAGAAGCTTATGACTATTATTCAATCATAACAGGTTACCTAAAGTTTACTTACGACGCCGAATCTTACTAGCTTCCTATAAAAGGAACATAAAAAACTGTAGCTGACATAAAGTGTCTGTTAGAAGAAAAGTTAATGTTATACGCAAAAGTGTGATCTTTCTGCATTAATAACACTGGGTCAGTAATTGCACAACTAAATTCTGTAGTGTCTGTTTTATCTATTTTTCTTGTTATGATACAGTAAATTACAAGTCTGAGCTGATTTGCTGTCTAGCTAAGATTTGCGTTTTTGATTGAGCGAACTAACATTTTCACGTCTTTCTGAACATTACATCTGGCGCCGGGTTCAGGGTGACCACGAATGCTCTGACCCCAGGTGGAGACTCACAGTTGTACCTCCGTGAGTTTAAACTCACCACTTACCCTAATCGGATGCGTTCGGAGGTGTAGTTTTTGTCAGTGGAGAGGCCTCGCGGTCTTCCTGTTTGTGTGTCGGTGACACAGAGACTATGACTCTCGCCGATCATGCACATAGTCCTGGGTTTGATCCTTTGCCAACGCACACCTGATATCTATGGGCGGCCTGCAACATTTAGGATACCGATATCACATGCTGAAAATTCCATACCTGTCCCAAAAATACGGTTTGGAATCAAGCTGTAATAAAAAAAGAATATACAGCTAACAGCATTTATAGTAGTTAGGGGAGTGCACAAATTGCATCCAGATACTCTCTTTTGGTTACAGGATTTCATCATGAGCTGACATCACTCAGAGAACCATTGGAAAATTTTGGAGTACTGGATATCTGCTTGTCCCACTTTGGAACTCTCCAACAGTACGCACCTACCAAAGGAGTTCGAACCAAGGACCTTCCGGATACAAGGCGGGCTCGTGGGTCAGTAAGCCAGTGGGACCCAATCCAATGGCCATCCAATGAATTCCAACTTCTGTCAATTTACGATATAGCGCGACCACTGGCTAATTTTATGATGAAATCCTGTAATCAATCAAGTCAAATCCCTACAAACCAACACTTAAATATCAATCTGCGGCTCATTGACCCTTTTCACGTAGGTAGTTACCGGAGTTTTAGTAAGAAGTCGTGGCCTGTGGGTTACACCAGGTCAAGTGTATGAACAGATGATAACCAATGACATTGGCTATGTCGTGAAATCAAATCCCAGCAAACCTACACTTGAAATACTCTTTTGTTATTTGCATAGAAACTAACCTAGTACGTGTACGCAGAATATAGCTGATCATCTATTTCCTTTTTCGTTGATTTCATGGGATAGATCGTACTAGCATAAAAACAATTCCAAACATTTCTTGTAACAAATAAATTCATAAGCTTGGTTTACTAATCTTCAAGAAAACTATTCACCCTGTATACTTTCAATTGTAAAATCTACAAGTATCAGATAACAGTGGATAGAACAACGAAAAATACATGCCTTTGTATACCTGTGCACATGTGAATGCCTGTCAGGCAAATTTGTTTGACAAATATACTTTTATATTGAAGTATGCAATAAGAAATTGACAAAAAATATTAATAATAAAATAACACTATGATTATATGAAATAAACTAGTGAAGAAAGAAAGAAGACTGTTATCTCTTATGAAAAGAAAATCTATGAAAATAGGGAAGTAAACAACATCAACTTCGATGGGAGTTTTAGATAAATGAAAGATATGAATTGGTAATAATTAGGAAGAGGGTGAAATTTCTTGGTGAATACATTTCAATTGATCCTCATAAATTCTTCATTATTATTTTTCGTTTGTTTGTTTTTCTTTTGTCTTCAATCAAAATCACGAAATCTTCTGGGCACAGGATTATAAAAGCACATACGATATTCTGGGAAACACCGACACCGATGATATCGTTTAATCTCGTTACTACCAGATGGAATAAAACTCATGTAATACCATTCAGTACAATCGTATTTTTGGCATAAATCAAAACATCTTCTTGCCGTTGGTACAACACACAAAAAGTTCCCGGTAGCTGTTATTTTTAATAAATAAGATGAAAGTTTAAAAAACTTTTAGTACTGAATTTCTCGACACACTAGAGAACTTCAAAATTAAGCAACTATTGTAATATATTCCTAAGTCTATGTAATTATCTTATGAACCAAATAAGAAGTAACAAGGAATTGTTGATGACACGCCATGATAAAAGTACACGTATAGTTTTATAGGATAGAAATTCTTTCAAACAACAAGTTCACTTTATCTGATAAAGAGAAAGATAAAACAGAAATGAGTGAAATATAACTCAATGGAATGCTGAGACAGCGAAATAATGATCAACTAATCTCTGAGGATGTCTACGAAAACACTCGACCAACCGTTCCAATAATACTCCAACTGTACGGATTACCGAAAAAGATATGTAAACATGGATCTCCGTTCTACCCTATTTTGGACATGTTCGGATCTTCATATCAGCCAGTTGCAAAATGGCTAGCATGACTGCTACAGTCTGTTAAAGAAAAAAATTTCAAAATATTGTCTTTGAGACACGTTTGAATTTGTTAACTTTATCAAAGATGTAAAGGTGCTCAACAGTTGCATGATGTCACTGGATATCGAATCTGTCTTCACAAATGTCCCGATTACAGAGAAGATTTATTTCCTATCCAGGTACTTGGATGACAAGGACTTGAATATTGGAATACTTATATTCACGTTAAAAGTACTTCTACTCAGATACACTCTGAAAGTCCAATTCACATTCAGTGGTCTTATCTGCAGACATCAGGATGGCGTAGCTCTAAGATCACCTCCAGGTTCAGTACTTATAGATGTTTCCATGGAAAGTTTGGGAAGTGGGCCATTAAAATCTATCACCACCCTTTTAAAAGGTATTTCGATGATACGCGTATTGTTTGCGACAATAGATGTGACCGAAATATTGTCCTATAAGTCTTCTGTGGTTGTCATCAAGCCACAAAATTTACAGTTGAAGTAAAAATTCAACAAACAATCTCCTTTCTGCACGTTCGTCTAACAAAGAAGTCTGATGGAACATTCAACAGATCAGTATATAGAAACCCTTAGTGGAACGGCCAGTTGACAGACTCTTACAGGTGAGCAAACAAAGAACGTAAGTCAAATCTGACGATATCCCTTGTGACGAGGATCTGAAGAATTTTCAGTTCTAATTCTGTAGACGAAGAGGTCACTGTTTTAAAGAAGACACTAAAAGAGAATGGCTACCTCCGCGCTTAAAAGACAAACACAAATACCCAAAACTAACAAAAAACTACATTTCTGAGCAGAAGATGAGGCCTCACATGAATGTGTCGTTCGAAGATGACCTTCTGGCTGAAACTCAAGGCAAGGGAATTTCACTAATGTAAGGGAATTTAAAAAGCCCTGAAAAGAACGTTCTTTACTTTCACACTGATGATGGTATTCTTTCGCCTCTCAATGTTCTCCAATAACTCTCTGGAAAAACAATTATATTTTACTACTCCTCTGTGTATCTACAATTTACTTACTACTGTGGAGCGAAATATATAGGTTGTTTAGTGTGTATATCAATTAGAAGAGTCAAGGAACACTACACCTCTTGGCTATAAAAAGGTCACAGCGGATCAATAAAGAGTGCTATAACTCAAAATGTATATATATTCGTTTAAAGTTATCTACATAGCTAAAAGAAGCCTCAAAACATTGTATGCTTCCACATACTTTGCATTGCTGAGGCCTTAACGGTCGCGTTGGTAAACGCTGATTTAATTAAAATAATCACCAGCTGTGGAAATAAACTGATGTTTTATGCAAACTGCGGGAAAAAAATACTGGCTTTATGTGTCCTACCTTAAAATCGAAATTTTCTCTTGATATGTGCTCACAGTAAACCGGGTAAATACCAAATTCTCATTTTTTCTGTGATACATCTGGTTGTACAGAAAACATTTGACTCACCTAGCAATGGTAATTAGATGAAATTAATATATACTAACTATTTCAGACCTTTTCAGCTAATTAGATGGTTGTTGTATATTACTGGCGAATGAAACGAATAGAAAAGACAAGTTAGGTGAGATTGAGATTGTGACTGTTAATCTGATTAAAGATGATTTTTCGTAGAATTGCAGGACGTTTTGTATAGTATTCCTCTTCTGTTCATACTAAGGCCAAGTTAAATCAATGGTTATCATTTTGTTCTATTGTGCATAACATGCACCAGCTCCAGTCCGTCTGTCTTCACTACTACTTCTCGTTGATTTTCATCAAGTCGACAGCACGGTTTGACAAATACATAATAAAGTTCAAATAATATGGTGTTTAGTTTCACACTGTAATAATAAAAGCAGGTTCACCAGTTTTCTGAATAGTTGCTGATCTTTTCATGAACGGATTGAAGATAACATCTTTTCAAACATACTCATACCTAAAATATGACTGAGATATGCTGATGACACTTTGGTTGTGCTAAAATGTGGTCAATTAAATTCATTCTTATAGAAACTGAAAAATCTTTCTCCTAACATTCAGCTTACTTCGGAAGCAGAATCAGACATCGGTGAACTACCATTTCTAAACTGCTTATTTAAGAGGAGGGAAAACGGATATTTTAATTTGTATGTATTCAGAAAGAAAACCCACTCCAACAAATATTTATACTTAGAATCATCACACTCAATCAGCGCAGAGTCATCCGTCGTTTAAAGTCTTCCTAGACGAGTACGCCCCTTGATAACGGAAGAGAAGGAAAAAGAAAAAATATCAAATATCACTGAGATTCTCGGTAAAAATAACTGCCCAAAGAACTTCATTAATAAAATCAACGCCGACACTAAACATGGACAAAAGCGTATTCCGAAGACATGGGATTCAACATTTGCCATTTCGTATAGACCAGAAAAGTCGGATGATATCAGAAGAGTACTCAATATGTACGACATCAGAGATTTCTTGAAAACATCAGACACACTACAAAGCAACCCTGTCCACATAAAAGATCAAATCCCAAAGGATTCTCAGTCTGATTGTGTCTACAAAAGTAATTCTTGGAATGTGATGCGATATACATCGGATAAACATCGCCAGAGAGAAATCAAGATGAAAAGAAATGAACACCGTAGAGCATCTGTTCGATCACCGCCTAGAAATCTAGTTAGTGGACTAGAAAAGCTTGAAAAATCATCAGCCATTGGTCTCCACGCTATAGAATCAGGTCACTGGATTTATCCAGACAATATTGAAACAATCAAGAAACATTTCAGGAATCACAAAGAACGTCTAATATCAGGAGCACTTCATATCAAATGGAATCCAACTGTCTGAATGAAAATGATGGACTAAAATAGAACTTGACCTGGTTGCCACACTCCCCTCCCCTCCCCAATGAAATGACAAAATCAGCACGAATGTGATGAACAATTTCATAATGTAAACACCTGCTGCTTTTATAATTTTACACACTTATCAGAACCAACAATCTGCATATGGTTTTGTTATCTTTAACAGTTGGCCAACTTGATAGTGTAAAAAACTCCCCCATACTGATGAACGATGATTAAGTTGTTATATGTAAGCTGAGACTTTGTAAGACTTTGAGAAAGCTATTAGCATTAAATAGCGAAGCGTCAGTGAAAACAACAAAATCGATTTGTTTTTCATTGATATAGAAATACGAAAACTTTTATAATAATGAATATCATATAACCAATACCAAATTATTTTCATACTGTTAAAAGTGAACTTGGTTTGGACATATGTAAAAGCAAGTTCCCTTTGTGGTTGATTATCAAAGGCAAAATCAAGATACGAATTATTTTAGGTTACTAAACAGTGGCCTTAGAATTAATGGCAGGGTGTCCTACCAGCTGAGCTAAAAGACACAACCACTGACTAAGCCATCATTTCACTTCAGTCGACAATGCATAATAACAGTCTGCTAAATAAAAATCTACAAACCAATACTTGAATATAAATGAGATGCTCACTAGCGACTGACCCTATTCACGTAGGTTCTGTCGAGAAGTCGTGACCAGTAGGGTAGAGCAGGTCGGGTGTGAGGACAAATAATTGCCGATGACATTGGCTAGTGGTCCCGCTATATCGTGAATTGGCTGAAGTTGGATATCATGGGCCAATGGATCGGGTCCTACTGGCTTAATGGTCTACGAGCTAGACTTGTCCCCAGGAGGTTCTGGTTTCGAACCCCGCCAGTGAGTGAGTACTTTTTAAGTCTTTGGATAAAACGGTTGTCCAGGACTCTGAGCAGGTTTCCCGATTGTTCTCTAACCGATATCCGCTCATGATGAAATCCTGTAACCGAAAAACCCTTCTCTCACAGCCTCATCATCTGATATTGTTTCCTTTAATTGAAAACCTGAACTTGATCGCAGATAAACACTGATTAGTTTTTAATGAACATTAACATTTAAAATATTCATTTTAGTGTCGAATAAATCTTACTGATATGCAGAAATCATTCTGAATTTCATTTCTTCTCCAAATTATGAATTCTGCTTAATGTGAGTAGTAGAGCTAGTAGTACTTACTAGCATGAAACAAAAATGAAGATATGTTTGCACTGAACCCAATGAATTTTTCCAAATATTGATTTTTTCCGCTTTGGAGGAAACTAGATTGTATACCTCAATGAGTGAATTTCTTACTGATTGATGAGCTTCAAACTTTAGCCTAACAGAACCGACAGTTCATATGGATGTCATTCAACAGGTGCGGTATATTATATATATATATATATATATATATATATATATATATATATATAGTTGCCATCATCACTTGTATACACGACCTGACTCTTCACGACTTACCATCATGAAATCGGTAGTCTTCTTCTGGGCATGGTTTTGTAAATTTAAGCTCAGACATTATGTTGCTACTCATCGGTGTATCTGAAATAATAAAATATAAAAAATCCAAGTAAAAATTGAATTTTTCCAAAAACACACTGCTGTATATACACAAAGCGTAAAGCTAAAGGAAGCTGTGTTCTTATCAACCTACTTATATCCTCCTAATATTTAAAGATGAAGAAGCCTACTAGTAAAAATTGTACTTGTATACTGACTGGTTGAACCTGAAATTATTTCGACAGTATCTATTCCACAGTAATTTCAATATCATATTGGTTTTTACTCTGATAGGCACATATTTTATTCTCATGGGTTCTGACTAACAATCTTTAGTTATGCAAGGCAGACACAATCATCACTGTTCACAAACAGTGGTAAACAGAACCATTATCATCCTTACGGATCATATTCATTCGATCAACATTATACCCTACAGTATTTACTGTCCTATAGTTGATTACAAAAAAACAGGTAAGTAATGGAAAGCATTTTACGCAACCTGCTATCTCTTGTGATTATGAAAAAGCTTTCTTTATATTCACATCTCAAAAGGTTCACTCAGTAGAAAATTCTAGTTGAAGTGGTTCATGGTAAATTCACTACATACAAGAAACTTAATTTTTAATGAAAATATAACAATGTATTGACTAACATCAGATGATCACATCACTGTAAGTTTAGAAATGGGACACTGTGGTAGAATGTAATTCCATTTTAGATAAGTTTATTTTAATTATCACACAATGATGCAGTATTAACAAATGGATGACGTTTCGAGTATAAATTATTGCTGCTCATAATCATATCAGTTTTGTCACACTTTTTTACAGTTTGTCTTATATATATTTTCTCTCTTTCTGTCTTACCACCTTCCCTTTGTTGTTTGTTGGCACTTTCCATATCTCCGGTACAGGCGTTGCGTTATTGCGATTGCGTGTGTGCGGTGTTGAATAGATAAACAAAGCTTCAGTGGGTAACCTCTCACGCTGTCGTCCCCAAACCATGTTACTTTGTAATACTGTCATCCTGTCCCACCCCACCTATTGTGTGATTACATGTAAGTGAATGCAGTGCAATGGTTGAGCTTTCATCTAGGTTATTTAACCTAGCAGGGTCAATTACTCTAGGTCTAGTTAAATTTTTATGTTCCAATAATCTAGCTGACGCTGATCTACTAGTTTGACCTATGTAATTGACCTTACTGACAGTCACTACATGCTATTTGGTAAATTATATTGTTTTCCCTAATTGCATCTGTTGGGTCTTTAAGCCGATAAAGTTTATTTCTGAGAGAGTTGGTTGGTTTAAACACCACCCTAATTCCAGCGTCATTGAGAATTCTGCATAAGACCTCTAACATCTCTTCTTTATACGGTAGTGCTAAAGAGGCTTTGAGTTCCACATTATTTTCGTCAATTTTATTGGTAGTCTTAGTTTTCCTATAGTTCTTCATATATTTCTGAATCAATTCTGGCGGGTAGTTATTTACTAGTAATATTCCCCTTATTTGTTTATCTAAATAAAAGACCATCTCTTGCAGAACTGACTTATAAGTAATAACGCTGATTGTGTTTTTTTTCCCATATGAATCCTACCCATAATAACATAAGCTCTACGGGTTAACAACTTCTTTATCGGAACATGAAGTCATTTTATTCTTTGTTCGCAAAAATATAATTTTCTTGCTTTATAAAGCTACGTTAATTAAGAAACGTAGACTAAGGTCAAAATTCCTGTTGAAAAAGAAAACTTCTCGCCACAAGTTATCATAAATAACAAAAATTTGTGTCTGGAGGCCCCTGGAAATTGTTTCCTGCTAACATTAACCCCAAAACAAAAATATGCACAATGCATTACGTATTAGTGAAACGTCATTTAGTTTACTGACCATATTTTATCAATGATAGACAGATTTTGCTTCAATACAGACAGGGGAACTCATTTAATGACGTAATTGCTTCTTTTTTTCTATGTGTATCGAATATATCATATTTGCTTATATTCATGATTTTTTTTGAACTGTTGAATGAATCAGCTTTTTCCAAAGAAATGTGTAATAAATATTTACATAAAATGAGGGGAAAATATGTATAATTTCGGTAATATTCATAAAGAAAAAAGTATACACCAGTCATTAGCATTCCGTATGAAATGTGATGTTTTCCTAGGTTATTTTCTGGAGATCGCAATATATGTGATGCGAAATGAAAACGTACTATTTTTTTATACCACAGTCCAAAGTGCAACGATTCAGGTATATTTCTCATTAGTTTGAAGATGCTTTATTTAGAAGAGGTATAATTAAAAATGGACAGGGGTTACCAATAAAATTCTCCCACATTTTCATCAGTTACAAATCCATTAATATCTGTCTAGGATCCATAGATCAACATATATATATCAATTCACCTGCCCGTGTGTAGCTAGATATATCGGTCTTTCGACTCGAGTTTTGTCCGAGAGGGTGCAAGAACACTATCCTGTATGGTTACGAAGAGGTGGAAGTGGAACAATAAGACCTGCGATCACTGAACATCTGGTCGATAATGATCACCTTATCTCTATAACCTCTGCCTTTAAAGTCACCTACAAGGAAAAAAGCAATTTATCCAAATCCAAAGTTTTGGCTATCGAAACAGAAAAGCTAGAGCTCTGTGTGTAGAAAAAAGTTCGTTCAACCCCTCCAACTTTCATGGTCTTATTCCCTCTATGCTAAAGTATGTTACTCCCTAATCATATTTTGGCTCTACAAATTTTTTCATTTTGTCTATTCAATTTGTATACTCTTCCTTTATTACTTTTCTCACTTTGAACTGTCCCCGGCATTACTTCATTTGTTCCACTTGTCATTCGAACTTGATTCTGATTTGCAACGTTAAATTCTATGTTGTCAAATTTCACATGATGTTACGTAACGTTTTTATTTTATTCGATTTGTTTTTTTATTTTCCTGCACGTTCCCAGTGGAACATAGGGCTCCAAGCTAGATGCTTGAAGTTTCTCTAGCAATGGTGATTATTTTTACAGGATGGGGTTGCTAGCCGCATGCCAAAACTTTCCTCTTCACCAGTCTCACTACTGGCTTAGCGAGGTAAAGGAGTGCGCCGGCCGGGAATCGAACCCCGGACCATGTGCATGGTCGGCGAGCGTCCTAACCGCTATGCCACCGACGATTTGCCTACCAATCCTATAATTGCACACCCTTTCCAAGTTCTATACATCCTATGAATTGTCCTGTGGATGGCATTAATTTTTTCGCCACTTGACATTTAACTAATATGATAATCACAAATATTTTTATCCTATTTCATACGACTATTATTATTATTTTATGCATTTATGCCTATGATTCAATTCCCTCCCGGATATAATTCCTTAAAAAGCATGTATTTACGATTGTACAGGTAGATAAAAAATTCTTTGAAAAGAGGCTCTTCGCTGAATCACTTGTTTTGATTTTCTTTATACAACATATAAATGACAAGATATTTTTAGGACAGTTAACAAATATTTCTAGCCACATTGTTAATACACACTCGTTTCTCAGAATAATTGTGTACATCCAGTAGGGGAAGTAAACAAGAAAAAATACTCAGAACAAGAATAGTTAAAGAGAACAACTGTCTTCAGTATACTCTTCTACAGGTTTAACTATTATAAATCTGTTAATTCCAGCGTACAACAGCCAGTAAAGACAAATTAGAATTACATCAGAATATGTATCATGGAACATGTACAAGACGGAATAATAGTCAGTTAGTTTTGATTATCATTTGGAATGTGTTTGGTCAGTGAGAACATGAGATAGTTATGGCCAAGAAAAAAGCAGGTTTCCAGAGTGAGTTTCGTTAGTGGTGTGTGAGAGATAATATAAACACCAGAGAGAAATAAGCCAACAAATTGTATAGACTAGACTAATAGTAATAATGATAATAATAGTAATGATAATAATAACGAAGGTGTAGTGTAGACTTAGAACTACTCCTGATGAATGATTATCCCGCAATACTGGATTTAATGAAGCGGAATGAATAGGATTGTGTCATTATAGTAATAAATGTGAGAAACATTACGTAAGCCCGATGGTAATAGAAATAATAAGAAAGGTCATGAAGCCGTTGAAGCTGTGAAATAAACACTTGTCAATAAAACAAAGGGAAAACAAGGGAAAGAATGAGATCGGGATCTGAAGTGTTAATTATTATTTTGGAGAATTTGTTCACCTAATTGTAAGTGACCAGAAGTAATTCTTCTGAATACAGACACTAGGTCTTCTGATATTGACTGTAACCTCTTCAGTAATTCACAAGTGACTACACCCATCCCTTAAAGCTCTTAATTATACATGTGAAAACACACTATTGAATTATTTTATTTTATTTCATGTTCTTATTCAGTTTACATTTTACACTGATTTAAGTGGTAATCAAAACTCACCATTTTTCCATCGTGCACTTGTACTGCAATACACTTTCTGATTTAATTCTAACGTGTATTTACTGGTTAGTATACGCTAAAATTAAAGGGGTTTATAACTGTAGAGCCTCTGGGAGAATTTGTTGTAAACACTTGTCCATTTTATTCGTTCTTATTCCGAATAATATATGGGAATATTCAAAGTATGTGCGTCAGTGGTACAGAGGTTATGACTCTCGCCGATCATACACATTGCCTTGGGTTCGGTCCCTTGCCGATGCACACCTGATATCTATGGTGGGTTTGAAAAATTTGGGTTACCGATATCACATGCTGAAAATTCCATACTTGTACCAAAAAACACGGTGTGGAATCAAGCTGTAATCAAGAAAATAATAAATAAAAAACATGAATACTAAGCTTGCTCCAACTATTTTTCACAGTCTTGACGTCTTGTAGGATCACGCTTGGCTTACTAGCTTGTCATACAGGATAGATCATTCTTTTTAGATTTTTGGGTATTTAACAGACATTCTAGTGGAATTTATCAAAAGCTGAAAGGAGATGGAGAGTTATTGAAAATCACAGCCCTTTTACTCAAACACAAGTATTTACATATATCACTGATAAGTGAATGGACTCAAAAAAGATTCTGCTAACATATGAATGAGCAGTTCTGATGTGCGAAGTTAACCAATATCCACTTCTAACAGTGTCAGAAGTTCTGTTTAAAATAAAGCCATTATTACTGTTTTGGAGACGAACACTAATGGGCTATTGAATTTCTGCATATTGACTGAATGTTGGAATGCTCACCATGTAACTTGATAGTCTTTGACTCAATAATTCACTATGGCAATAGATTTGGACTACTTTTTAGTACCAGGTAAGATCTATTCAATTTCTGTTGACATACAATACATCTTCCACTGATCTAGTCTGTAGTGGTCAGAATTTTCACCATTTTCATCCACCGGATGATGTAAAAACTACACCTGTTATGAGTTAGAAGATGGTACACTCAAACAAAAAAAGGAAAAAATTTCAGTTATTCAGAGATTGATTTTGTCAAGTTTCATTGCTATGATATTTATTTTAATGCATATTAAAAATCCTTATTTTTTTTAAAATTTTTTTTTGATTATAGCTTGAAACCACACTGTACTTTTGATACAAGTATGGAATTTTCAGCATATGATATCGGTAGCTCAAATTTTGCAGGCCGACATTAGATATCAAGTGTGCGTCGGTAGGGAATCGAACCCCGGACCATGTGAATGGTCGGCGAGAGTCCTTTCCGCTGTGCTACCGACGTAATCAGAACAAGATGATTTTGAGCGAACATTTGTTTTCAAAATAAACTCTTCTTCAGGCTCTACACAGTTATAAATCCATGAATATTCTAATACATATAACAATTAAAGGCATGAGAGAATTATATCGGAAACTGTATTGCGGTTCATGTACAAGATGGAACAAAAAAGGGAGGATGTTGATAATGCGTAGACAAGAAACAACTCTTGTAGTGTGTTTCTGTCGCACTATTTCACTTAGTTCAATAAACGACTTATAGTATTATAGTATTAAATGCTAATAATTTAACAGAATAAAACAACATAAAATATACTACTTACAAACTGCGATGGTTTCAAATACAAGGAAATTTAAGATTGTATAGAATAGTAATATAAGCAAATCACACCTTCTAAAAGTTAAATTCTTCTTGAATACTGACATTTGTAGATATTTTCTTAGCAGCGAGTAGCTTTAACGTATTAAAATTAATTAAATCAAGACAATAATAGCAGTATAAGTTAATGTATGATGTGGAAATTCTTGCTTAAGATTAGAAAATAATAATATTTTAATTGTTGTTTTAATGTGTTTGGTTATCTCGTAAGTAGGATAACAAGTGGAAGGATGTGTTCGACGCTTCTTGTTTATTGTGCGTTATATATATATATACATATATATATGGTCACACTGATTGGGTATAAATGTTTGAACCAATTACATGACACACTTATAAAATGGCAGGCAAAATAAATATGGTCTAAAAACAAATCCATCCTCCATAAATATAAAATATGAACATGTATATATCCGAGTGTAAGACGAATAATTTGTCAGTAGTCACTCAAGTATATTCGCAGTTGTGGCCTAAACTTGAAACTCTAGTATTCTAAAGTAGTCTTTAGACTGTGTTTTGTGATCGGTAATTAAACGTGTTACGTAATAGTCTTTATATCGTAGTAACTGAAAGTTAGTGTTTTGGATTTAACCTTTCTCAACAACCCACAGTTAAATTATCCAGTTCACAGGTCAAAATTACACCAAAAATCATTCACACATAAACTCAACCATTTTTACTGTTTAAAAGTACTATGCCAAATAGCTACACTCTCAATGATGATGTCTTATCGTATAGAGGAACACTGGATACTCGGTTAGATAGATCACATATTTTTCTGAGTCAATAAGTGATTATAATAAAGCCGAATGACTGAGAGAGAAAACAACAAAACAAGATTAATTTTCCGTGTATTAATTACACTATTTGTATCATACATCTGGACTTAACAAAACATGAATTAACTAACTAAAGGTTAATTCTGCATTAATACACTGATATTATGCATTCCTTTTATGAATTACATACGTGCCAATAATACCCTTCAGTTTAATAGGTAGTGGCAGAGACAGTAGAGATGTTTCAATGCTGAGGTAAACATGGTAGTTAAGCTTGAATGTTTAGAAAGGACATATTAGTTGTTTTTTTATATTAATTAGATTTGAGCTAATATATGAGTCAGTAGTTCAATACTAGAATGTTAGCCGCCTACGGACTTGATCCCTGTTGATACACTCCTTAGCGTTACGTAGTATACCTGCAGGTAGTCCAGCCTAGAAAAGAAGAAGGTTGGGTGTGAGGTTAGCGAATCCACCTCGTCAAATAGACAACAACAATTCTAGTAAAACTGCTAAAGCTCGAGGCAATGATTGTAAAAAAATAAAAATAAATGAGTTGATTCATTGTAACAATCATCTTTATATAGTAGTTAGGATTCATTTTGGTCAAACATTTCACTGATTAAAGAAACTGAGGCAGTCATTGAATAAATTATCTTCTTGTACCCTTAATTTTAAATGGAACTAGTGAATAGTTAGACATTTTGATGTCATAAATCTGAATTTGCTTTAAATCTTTAAGGTCGATCATGACACATGTAGCAAATGAATTATTGATAAATTCCTACATTTTGATTGATAACAGTAATGTATAAGTTGATTAACACTTAATAAAAACTACAATATATGATGGTGAGTCAGAGATGTCAACACATAAATGATTATATTGTCTTTATTGACATTTCTGCTTTCAAAATTTGATGATAATCAAGTGAAAATATAAGGATGATTGTCAAAGATTCCTTTCTCACCTGAACAAATCAACTGGCTCAGTGTCAGACAGACTATTCAATTCGTAGGAGGTTCTTACATAACACCGGTCAGAACTTCAGTATCATTAGCTTACTTGCTTATAGGTGAATTTCACACTTCCTGAATAGTTGATTATATGGGAATGAAATGTCCTGTCTCTGTTGTCATCACGGCCTTTAGTACGGACAATTCGAGTGTGTCTAAGGATCAACTAGGCAATGTGGCATAGTGGATAGTGTTTCAGTGTTCCAAATGACAGATTTAGGGTTAAAGTCTCAGCAGGAGAATCACCACTCACCGAGACTACAGGTACATCCAGATGACGAGTCCCAAACAGGAAGAAATCCACATCTCTGATTCCACTGTTAGTCACCAGTAACCAAAATAACATTATTGGATTACATTTTATAATAACATTTTAACTCTAATATTAAAGCATATATGTAATAACAGACTAATGAGCCAAAATTTTTAACTTGTAGCATAATAAGTAAAGAAGCCGATGCATTTTCATCATGAATTATATATATATATATATATATTTGTTCAGGTGGCTAATAGTGCTTCCAGAAGTGATCTTTTTTTCCTAATAGTTCAAGGGGTTTTAGTTAAGCTGGTATATAACAAAAGAATGTTTCTTCACATCAATACCTTAGGCTGATGTATACTAATAGGGCAAATAAAGTATACGCTGTCGCCCATTGATAGCAGCTTATACTAATAATTTTATGGGCAAGCTGCACTTGAAACATGACTACCCACTACGTCTGAAATGAACAACAAATAAATATGGTACTTATATATATATACCTAAGTAGCAGAGTTATAACGGTTACAACACTAGATAACAGCATTTTTCTACTTGAGAGTATTCCTCTTCTTCCTAATGAGTCCTATTCTCCCTTTTATGTCTACGCTATTTTTAGACTGAAGTTTTCAGTTAAACAATATTTTGATATTCCTCAGGTGTTGGTTAAGGTTCGCACTGTCATTATTTCATTTTGCAGGTGTATGAAACTAGAACACTGACACAGACGTAATGTCTTGCTTACCTCAATGTCATGAAGCTGGTGCTTGCTTCTCCATTTCCGACAGTTTTCTTAAAGGTAGAAGTTGTTCAGCTCGACTTCTGTAAAAATAAAAACTCAATCTATTTACAATTTTTTTTGACTTCCAGGTAATTAACAGCGTTATTTAGTTATCTATTCTAACCTTACAGAACTTATCTGTGTAAATGTTTCTTAGGAGAAGTGAATTTTTATTTGTTTGTATTTTAGATGTAATTAATTGCTATTCAACAGTTTAAACCAGTGTTTCACAACCAAATTTCGTATTAATATCCTCGAAAATTTAACCTATTACTGCTAGTAATGCGGAAAATCTTAGCCCACTATACATGACACAGCAGTGATTTAACTTGATAGAGATGAAACTTGATTTCTGGGACCATACCGTACATCGAAATAAGAATCCTTGGTTTTGTTCCTCACATCTGACTTGATTTTCTTTATTTAGTTCATCGAATATTTTTTACTATTGTGTTCCAATGGTTTGGCGGTAGTTGATTTCACAATTAACTTCCAACCAGGCACTGACGGGAAACAAGACAAGCCATTCAGCTAAGAAGCTGTTTCCAGAGTTTTCATTTTCTTTGGATATATAATTCTACAAGGGAATATCTACCGGCAAAAAACAAAGCCTGATTGAAGCACTTGCTGCCAGCATGCTGATGGTATGGAGGAACAGTTAAATCCTCTATGATAAATTCTGATCAAAAATGGATATCCACCGCGTTTCATAGAAAATATACCGCCATAAACTATGAAAAGCTATTTGATGTCAATATCCAAAAGAGTACTGAATATGACACTTCGATTCAAAGGGAGGCTAGCTGTTGACATCCTTTAGAGAAGGATCTCATATTTCCTGAGAAGGACATTCGCCATAACATAGTTAAGCACTGTGTGTGACTTGTCAGCGATTACTGTTCGGTAAGCTGAATAATAGGATCCAACAGTTAACCAAATCTAAATGTGTTTAACAGTTCATCTGCTCCTGTGAAGCTAGGTACAGTGGCCGTTCAATGCATGTTTTTGTCTAAAAGAGTGCGAGAACACTATCTTGCAACACTTTCACATTATTTCAGCACCTATTCGACGGTTGTCAACCTAGCTCTACAGCTACCTGCCTCAAAGTTGTCTATGGCACAAAAAGTAACCTGACAAAATCGTAGTGTGTCTGGTTCATTTATATTACTGAAGCTTCAGCCACTGAAAAAGAAAATCCAGAGCCCTGCATACAGAAGCAGAAACCCCATAGTTTTTCCTAATCTTAGTCTATGTGTGTAAATTATTGTAGTCCTCATTTCATCTTGGCCTTATTTATTTTACGTTTTCTTTATTCAGTGTGTGTATTCACCCTTTCTTATTTCTGTTGGTATTATTATATTTGTTTCAAAAGATTTCGGATATAATCTCACTTGTTTCAACTTCCAAATTTAATTCAGTTAAATTTTCTGCAGGTCACAGGGTCCCAGTGGCTTAACGGTCTACGAGCTCGCCTTGTAACTAGAACGTCCTGGGTTCTAACCCCTGTGGTGCGTCGGTGGCATAGCGGTTAGGACGCTCGTCAACCATGCACATGGTGCGGGGTTTGATTCCCAGCCGACGCACTCCTTTACCTCATTATGCCAGAAATAATGCTGGTAAAGAGAAAAGGTTGGGCATCCTGTAAAATAAACACTTGTACACAAACTTCAAGCCACGAGCTTGAAGCCCTATGTTCCACTGAGGTACGTGAAGGAAAAAAGAAATTTCTCCAACATTACCCTACTGAAATTCTTACCCTTTTATGTAATGACTTATTTACTTGCCATTCTTCATTAATGTACACCCAGTTCTAAGATATATGCATTACAAGCACTATTTTAAGAAGTTGCATTCTATTTAGTACCTCGGTGTTTACCTATGGTTGTAATCACAAATATTTTGTCACAATTCATAATTACTAATTTTTAAAAAATTCACAAATGTGTATACGTATATATATATATATATATATATATATGTATATGATTTCATAGCTTGGTAACAGGTTTATTGAAAAGAGTCTCTTTAGTGAACTATTTTCTTCAATCATATGTACATACACGTGTGTTGGTGGCTTAGCGGTAGAATGCTTGCCATCCACGCCTCGCGTGGTCCGTGTTCGATCCCCACCCGATGCACCCCTAATTCTCGCTAAGTCAGTAATAAGACTGGTAAAGAGAGAAGGTTGGGTATGACGTTGGCAACCTCACCCCGTAAAAATAAACACCACTGCTACAAAAACTTCGCAGCTCTAGCTTGAAGCTCTATTTTCCACTGGAAACGTAAAGAAATAGAAAAAGTAAATGTACGTACAATTTTTCACAGAGGAGGATATTTACGAAAGGGATGAATTCTTGTAAGTACAGTTACTAATATTAGTAAATATACAGGAGGATTCAAAGATACC